ATAAGATTTTTATAACACGGCAAATCTATTAAAAATTAAAATAATTGAACTAAATATAATTTTATGATGAAATAAAAATTTATTGTATATTTTCATAGAGATTATAAAACACAAATATTTAAACATCTCAAGTAGGATTTAGGATTGCTCAACAAGAGCGATGCCTTCTTAAATTCCCCCCTCCTTCTATTTACGACTATGATGTTTAAAGAGTGATTTCATTTGATTCAGAAATGTACACACTCAACAGCAATTAATTGATATATTAAGTACTATATAATTATAGAATTAATTGCTATTGGAAACAGTCGTCAATCGTAAATAAATGCGGAATAATTACCGGAGTAACTGTTAGCAAACATCCGACGATTCCCACTTTTGTGTTGTTTATGGTTAGTGTTAATGATGGCATTACTAGTTTATTTAATTCTGGTTCTGCCGTCATGTTCAAGTTAGATACTACTGTAGGTATGCCTTGAATTCCGTTTAAGTATGACAGAAGAGTGTTGACACCGCGATCGAACTCGTGATTTCCCAAAGTCTGTAATAACAGCAATACAAATTTAGAATAAAAATGTTTTAGCTTACATTATATTGACTCGTCAGTGATTGTTATAGCCGAATGGCTTATATTATGTAATAATTATAGTGGAATAACAAGGATTTATTTAAAGGGGGGGGGGGTCCAAAAAAATTTATTTATCTATTGTCTGTTTTTCTATTCTTTTCCTTAAATCATACATACATTTTATTGTTTAATAAACAAAATTATATTATTTAATATACATATTTTTTACATTATTAAATTTATATTTACAATATATGTCAATTATTATTATTATACTAGTCAAATTATGGTATAGTTATTAGACATTATTCTTAATATTGATTTTACCCATACATCAAATTTGACGTGTTATTAACAAAATACCAAATCTAATAATTAATCTAATTATTAACGGAACTTCTGATTATATATATAAATGTCATATCCCTATACTGTTTATACTATACTTATTGATTACTTATTCGATTAGGCAGAAAAAGTAGTAGTCAATAAAAACATTATTCGATAACCTTTAATGACTTGTTTATAAAATATACAACTACGATAGAATTTTTTAAAGGTAACTTATTCTTGACAAATAGTTACCAAAGTTTATAGATAATATTATTTTATATTACCTATTATCTATAAACCTTGAAAAATTCTATGCACAATCATAGATTAAATAATGTACTACACTCAACTACAGTATTAGTTTATTTAATTTATGGCATAATGCCCTATAAAGAACCATTATTGAGGTCACGTATCGAGACAAATAAAAACGGTTACCATGACGTCGGGTTGCAGTTGGTTGATGAAATCGATGACGGGAGACGAATCGAAGAACGAAAAGTACGGAGTGCCTTGGAACGTGTCGCCGGCCACCAGGAACAGGGACGGCAAGCCGCTCTCGTTGGCCAACTGCCGTTGGTCGTGCACGAACTGGGCGACCCGCGCGAACCCGCCGTAGCATTGGCCCAGCGACGCGTCGTCCTCGCGGCACTCGTTGCAGTACAGGTCCGTCTCGTCGAACCGGCTGTGCATGTCGTTGGTGTGGATGAGCACCAGGTCTAGGCCGGACGTGTCCACCGCGACCGCGGCCACCACGGCCACGGTGGCGGCGGCCAAACACATGGAGGCTACTATGGGCCACATGTGCGTACTGTGTGTATATGCAGTGGAGAAGATTTTTGAAAAAAACAACAGACGTTGATCGATCGGCCGCACGAATTTTGTTGAAAAAAATAATTTTATTTTATTATGAAAGGGATTGAGTTAAGAAAGTGAAATTTTTAGGAGGTTGTAACAAAAACTGTGTATGCACTGTGGAGCACTGGTTATTTTTTTTTGTACGCATTAAACTATAGATGCACGAATGAACAGAATAGCAGACAATGAGTGAACAATCATACGAATTTGTACGCTTTCAACAGCATAATAACGAATAATAACGACGATTCAAGGTAGTCCAATGATCCAAAAATACTGCGACGTACTTATATATATTATGTACACCAAGGCAATTTAACGTCACAAATGGAACTTCGCGGATTTGTATACGAACTAATACTCGTGTTAAGCGTACACGGTTAATGCTTAAATTCAGATCTATAGCATATTGTGCTGTTTAACGAACTTATTATACACACACACATATATATATATATATATATATATATATATATATATATATAAATATACATATCTTAAAAAAAAATTTTATCGCAATGAGTTTAATGGTGGTAGGTTGAAGCTGTTGAGAGTTATACCGTCTTCCCACCGTTGCATCTAATCTCCATTACTTATGCTCGTTTCCTGTGAATTAATAGCACCTAATGTATATATATATATTATATATAATATAGCATTAAGTGCACTAATGGTATGGATGGCTATACCTATTGTTTCGTATGAATTATCTCAAAATTCGAATGACAAAAAACCATTTTGCATACGTGTGATACATTATGCGCGAGTTAATTAGTTAAAATAATAAAAATAAATACTCAATATTAATTTTAGTCATTATTGACATTGTGTGAATCATAAGTACGTGTAATACCTATAGCTATAGTAATAATAAGTACCTAATTGAGTGTTTGTAATTGAGTCGTTGCACGCCATACGTTAGTGATAGATGTCAACCTTTAACGAATATCACGTGATCAAATTCTAGTTTTGCCGTCGGGCTGGAATGAAGTGAAATAAAGGTACCTAATTGTTACGACTGAAACTGTCAGGTGGCAGTTTCACTGAAACGGCGAATGTCGTTGAAATTACTAAAATAGGCCGCCTCTGTTACCAAAAAATCAATTATTGACACAAATGTAAACCTTTTTTTCGGCAGTGTTTAATGTTATATTTCCAAAATAAAATTTTGCTCAGAGTGATCGGACTCAAACACTTGTTTTTTTCAAGAAAACATCCTTTTCTTGTAAGAACGTCATGTATTTTATCGTTGGTTGGCAAATCCCAAATTTGCATTTTATAAAAGTAAAATACATGAAAATGTAATAATCAATTCAAATAAAATTGTAAATGCAGTGTTATTTTTGACTTTCTACTTTCTAGTACTCTCTATACTTACACGCTTGGCAGTAAAGTGATTCGTGATTATCTTGGTTTATTCTATCAAATATAATATTTATTACATAGGTTTTTAGTATAAATGGAATGTAACTAGAAATTCCATATCTACGGAAAGTCCTACATAATAACGTATAAATACACAAAATTACAGTACCAAAAAATATCTGTAGTTACAAATTACAATAATCAAAAAGTAGGTAACTACCTACCTAAATTTAAAGTAAACATTATTTTTTTAAAAATGGATATTTAAAATAAACTAAATAATTTTTAAATAAAAGAAATATGAACATAAAAAATAAATTAAGGAAAAATAGAAATTTTTACTCAAAATAAATATTTGACTAAATAAATTATGATTTTCTATTGTAATTCTAAAAGAATTAACGAGTAGTTAAAGATACTTGAAATATTAAATTCCACATACATGATATAATTTAAAAATATTTAAGTTTTTTGTTGTTGAAAATTATTTTTTAGTTTGAAATTTATAAAAATGTTTTTTTATAATTGAGATTTGATAATTGAGCGATTATTTTTTACAATAAGATAGCGAGAAACTTAAGAGAACAATATTAAATAGAAGTTATTTACAAAAATAAAGAAGAGAATATAAAACTAAATTGAAAAGTCTGAACTTTGTAGTCTGTATGATTTTTTTTTTTTAGTTTAAAAGGATATTTTTGGTGTCAAAAGGAATGTTGGAGGAATTGAAAAGGAATATTAGGTGATCACGTTGCGTTGGGTTGATAAATTGGGACATGTGAAGATTTTATAGTAATGTCACGAATCATAGAGTCAATGTGAAGTGTGCAGAGAGAGGAATCGTTTAATGAGAGTTTAAAGAAATGAGAACAGTCTAATATGATCAAAATAGAGACGGGAGAACGATACTATGCTTTTCTTGGAAAAATTGAAGTTGTGAAACCACGTTAGTAGCAGGATGGTTAGAAATGTATTTCTGTATTAGGTGGCTAAGTGAGGAGAAAATAATTCTCAGTGTTTAAACAATATAGATTGTTTGTGCTAAGTTTGTCAAAAATATAGAATAGTTAAAACTGCTTATAATATCAATTTTGATATTATTCTGTATTCTGTTCAATTCTATTCACTTTTGATAAAATAATATAATAACAGCGTACTATATTATCCTTTATAGTAGGCTATTAAAATTTAAAGGTATAGATTATTGATACTCATCACTACCGCTAATATACATATTTTACAAATATATATATTATAGTTATAATATATAACTATAATAATTATAATAATAATAATAATAATAATAATATTATTATAATTTTTTTATTATTTTTATATATATTATTTACTATACATAAATAATTAGAAATGTAGAGTGTACACGATCTATATGAATATTTATATTTATTTATGATTTCATCATTATAAAACGAGTAAACCAGATACATATATACATTTTATCGCTTATACAATAATAACCTATACAATAAAATCATTTTTACAACGAAGACTTTATCAACAAGTACCTAATTATACAGATGTACCTAACAAAATATAATCATCATAAAAATATAAATACAAATATGTTTATACTGTAATAACACAAAAAAGGTGAAACTAACGTTTAAATATAAAAATATTAAAAGTGCCATAAAAGGTATAAGTTTGATGCGGCCGGAATGACATAAGGGACACAAACCTTGTATGTAAGTCCGGTATTAATAAATATTGAGTATACTTGTTCCCGTGTTATTACCTTCCTCCTGTTCTTCAGAGGGTTCTAGAGATCGTGATTCAAGAATGTGATCAAATACACCGTTACACAAATTAGATAGTAACATAACCTGTACTAACAATTAGTATTTTATACATACACCTTACCTAATTCGCCGCAGTGAATACTTATAGTACGTTCTTCGGAGAGAGATGCAAGGTGACACAAATTACGATATGACTTAAGGAAAACTTAAATTTAAATAAGAAAAACAACACTGATTTAACTTAGAAAAAGAAAGAAGTCAGTTGTCACTCGCAGAGCCTTGTGTGTAAGTCGTATGGTGGTTTTTGGGAAGAGCTCCTGCTCGCTTGTCTGGTGCGCCTGCACTCATAATATTTTTGTCGGTGCTCATGCACTCGACAGTTTGGCTGGTGCTCATGTACTCATGGCTTGGCTGGTACTCGTACATTGCTGAGAGAAGACGACATGGTCAAGCCAGCCAGAGTCGCAGGCGGTGTCATAAAAAAAGACTCAGCGTTTTTCGAAGAAATAATCTTTCTTATAGACGACAGAGAGCTTCATTGTTCCATGGCTTGCTCAGGTGGCTAACGAAATTGATTCACACGTTTTGCGAGATATTGTCACAACTCATGTGTCAATCTCCTTGTGATCATATAATATAAGTCGTTTTCTTTTATCAGTGGCGAAAGGATGTTTATAGGATTTAGTCTGCGTGCGACAACTTGACCGTTAATTTATTTGATTGAATTTTATGTATATGTAATAAATAATGATATGTGAGCATATCATTACAATACATAATACTTATTACATTTTTATAGTCTATGTTGAATAACATTTTAATTAATATTAAAGAAT